AAAAAAAAAAAAAATAAAGTCGTATAAGATAGAAATCTAAATATTTCTGTAGAAATTTAAAATAATAAATTTACTAACGATTTGACAACTACTGTCGTAATAGAATATTAAATTGCTAAAATGTATTTAATATTAATTTGATTTTACCAACTCTGTCGAAAATTAGAGATAATAAATATGACACTGGTATCGAAATGTGTATTGCCATTGTAATTATCGCTTGTCATCATTGCTGGACAATATTTGTTTCATGTAAGATAACAATTTATAGATATATATCAATGTATATAATAATTTAAAATAAAATAAATATACATTATTTCAATCAATAATATATAACTAATATTAATAATTTTTTTTTACGTAAATAGTTGTATAATGTATAATGGTTTATATTATCTGTTACTATTTATGTCCATAATCAACTTGTGATCGCAGAATAATATATGAATAATATGAGATATGTTTCAAGTTTTCCAGTACATCAATTTTAAAGTAACATTTTCTTGTGATCACACAGAAACAACAAATTTTGAAATATTTTAAAAAATAATTATACCTTTTAATAAATATTGTCTATTTTATTTTATGACGTAATAATTTAATCAACACATATTAACTAATTTCTATATTAGTTACATTAAAAAACTTTTTTGACATTTTTTGAAACTTATTTCAATATAACATGTATTATATTTTTGAAATTACAAGGACTTAATCCTTACAGTTACAAAAAGAGTATTATATATGAATATAATGCAATAGTATGTTAAGGTTAAGAAATGCTTAATTAAGAGGAAACCTTGAGTATTTAAATGTTGGTGGGAACAAATACCTAGTTGATTAGGAATTAATTAGTCATAAGTTAAATTAGATACTAATGTGATAATATATTATTAAAAAGTTTAAATTATTACTTTATAAGCCCGATAAATAAATATTAGTTTTTTTAGTTATAGACATTATTTGTAATCTAAGTTAGAGAAATACGAGTGATGATATCGGCTTTTGACAATTTTTAAATCATCGATGTCACTATTTAAACAAACGATACAATAATTTACAAGGATAATAGGTAATACAATATCAAAATTTAAAATAAAAAAATATTATGGCCAAGTATGGACTATAGTCCTTAGAATTTTCAATTTCTTACGATATAACATCTAAACATACTTACATAACTTATAATTTCTAATCAATGGCTATCGCAGTTAAATATAATTGTGCTTTTATTATAGCCACAATAAGAAAAATATTACTTAGATTATACCGTCTTACCTTAATAAATAAACACTATTTAAATTATTATTAACTTTAAAACATTAGAAACCTTTAAAAGTTAACATTAATAATAGTAATTTATTGTAAGTTATTATGAGTAATTGTAATCATTGGTGTTCTAGTAGTAGCAATTACATGCTCCGTATGTATAGATGTATAATGTTAAATGCCATAACGTATTAGATTAATAATAATTGATCGAAAAATATCCCTAGTATGCAAATTACGTCATTAAAAAGAAGCAACCAGGAAATTTTTAAAGTACGTATATAAGTATGATATATAATATAGTTAATATTTTCCTTAAACACAATGGTGTAGTGATGGGGGGAGGGGGGGCAAAATTTCACAGTAAATAATAAAATATAATTTGTAGATATTTGAACCATTTCATATTTTTAACGCATCTATAAATTCGGACCCAATGAAAAGAGCATGAAATTTTTTATTATTTATTCTGTGACGAATTCGGAAATTCCCTTTCTTTGAATGATATTTTGTGCTTGGATTGTTTATAACTTATAATCAGCGAGAATGACTTCTATTACACATATATTATGTTCAATATTGTTTATTACGTCCCTTTAAGAAAGTACATGATGCAATTTTTTCTTTGACAATTCAAAGAACGAAGAAGAATTTATACTCACGGATCTTCAGTTGTTTAGTTCACACTGTTTTGTAACTGTGATTTTTATGCAAATAAGTACTTGTAGTGGTTATTAAATTATTGGATAACTTTGTGAAAATTTGAATTTTCCCCTACATTTACCTACATTCAACTATGTGAGTATTAAATATTTTATTTATGTAGTTGTATGTTGGACTGTCTGATATGTTGTTCAAGCTCTAATTTATTAAAATCCGGCCATGTACGAGTTGTGTACTCGCATACCTAGGGTTCCGAACAAATATATACGGTTTTCAGATTTTTGCCTATAGAAAGATATGGTGTAAAATATACCTAGTTTTTGAAATGTTCGAATGTGAAATGTTTGTAATTGTAACTTTTATCATTACAATTTTTTTTATTTTGTCATCAAAAATAAAAAGAATAAAAAAAATTGGGGCGGAATAATATAGTTATAATAAGTATAAGTATCTATAAATAGATTCTATTACCTACTTAAAATTAAGGATCACCTCAACGATCGCATGATTAAATAATACCTTTCTACATAGGCGCAACTAAAGTCAAATATCTAGGGGTCTACAGCCCTCCTATCAAAACTTAAAATAATCTGTAGATCACCCCTACTCTTATATACCATGTTAATATAGGTATTTTAGTCAAATTTACTGCAATGTGTCTTTTTATATATGACACTATTGTTAGTATGCTGTATGCAGTATGCCATGTATAACATGGAATATTTATGGGGGCCCCCCTAGTTGCGCCTATGCTTTTGTACCTGTTATATCAATGGTTGAAGTAAGAATTTTTGTATTAATAAACGTGATTGTAAACTTTTTTATTTAAAATTTAACCTATATAATTCAAAATAATGATGACTGTTCTTGCTGAAAAGGTCTCTAGAATTAATGTATATAATGTATAGTATACATTAAATTGAAATACCTAATTAAAAGGGCGGCAAAATTGTCTTCCGCCCCGGGCAGCTGATACCCACGCTACTCCACTGCTTAAACACAATAGTTATTTGTTGTGTAAAATTATTAAACCATAATTTTAAAATTGTTCGTGTTCTATCAGTTAAAATATATGAAGTATTTATAATTTGAATATCATTCTATCATTAATTAAAATAGTTATAATTTTATCAATCATTTCATGTTTAGACAGTAGAACATGTATAGATATTTATATGATATATATACAGGTATAGATGAATGTATACCAACAGTAAATTTTTAAGTATATAACCGGAAACTGGTTAATTAGGAACAGTTGTCAATACTCAATAGTAATATGACAATACCACTGAAACATGTGGTGTAAGAATAATAATAAAAAAACACCATGTACTCGTACTCGTATACTCCCTTTTACAGGTAAATATCATTGTCAAAACATTTGTCAAAGGATTTTTTTATTTCTTGGCAGATGACAGTGTTTCTCATAATGTAACCTTTATGTAACGCACTAATATTATATATTAGTGTGAGTTCCACAAAAATGTTCTTTATAATAAATGCGATCCATGATTTACAATTAGTATTAGATAACGAAATTAATTTCTCATAATTATTGTAGCTCCTAAGACTTAATTTAAATAATAAGTATCCATTTTTATTTAAATCTTATTGTTCAAGTATACCTATTTATAAATACATTTTACTTTTTCACCTACATAAATGTAATTGTAATTTTTATGTATATATTCATTTTTATGTTATATAACTCATACGATATATACTAACTACTAAGTATATATACAATGTACTACAAATAAATATCGAAATACATAAGGTACTTGAGATTACATTATTACATAGTAGATAACTAGATACATACTTAATACCCAGGTATAAAGCTTTTATTATAATTTACTTTAAATTTTGTTAAAAAAAATGTCAAGAAGATACAGTAAAGTATATTGCATGAATAACTACTTCAAACAAACAGTTTTACCTTTACTATTCTATATTATTATCCTTTACCTATACTAGTGCTCTGCACGGTCCGGTCTTTATGGGCAATTATAAACTCGGCCCGAGAAAAAAAAAATGTTCAAAAGGTCTATTGTAAACTCGGCTCGTGTTTTTTTCAGGTAAAAATAATTTAGGTGTAAGCTCGGCCCGAATAAAAATGTACATATAATTTTCTTATAATATTTTTAAAACCATTTAGTATTACCCAGAGGACACCACGAGAAGGCGATTCTCATTATCTTCCAAAAATTATTTTCATTGCCATATTATTCATAGTATGAAATTCATTATATAATTAATGTAAAATGTATTTATATAAATTTCTAAGTGTAAAAAATCTAAAACTACAAGTAAAACTGTTGAGTAAAAATATAAGTGAAAAATTGTATTGTAATAATATATAAATCTATTTTTTTAAGTAAAAAGCCATGTGTATAACGTATTCACTCACTGATATTTCCTAATTTTTATATTTTGTAAGCGTTTTTTCTAAGAGTTCTTTTTTTTTTTTTAGTTTTTGTATTTTGAAATTGAAATGGTGCATCTAGGCTATTGATTTTAATGTACGTTTCTGTTTGTAGTTCTTTTAATTTTGTA